TTCTCAATTAATTATTTTCGAGTATTTAATTTTAGAATTCCGTAATTCTTTAGTTTCATTCTTAATCCTAACCTAACTAACTTAAAACTTCTAAAATCATATACAACAAATATTCACATTTACCACAAATATTCACATTTACATTAAAATATTCAAATAATATTAGAAACACAATTAATTTGTTCTAATCCTAACAATCATATAATATTTAAGAAAACATCGTCTAATAATCTAACCTAATTGAAAATAACCGTCGTCTAATCTATTGTGGGCATTATTTTAAATTTCAAATCTAAAAAATATTATAACTTAAATTGACCAAAAACAAAACTGAGGTGGCGGTTTGGCGACGGCGGAGGCTGCTAGTGGCAGCCTGTTTGGCGATGGCGGAGGTGGTTGGTGACGCAGCTTCTCAGTTTTTGGCGAACACCGGGTCGGCTTGGAGCGGCGGAGGCGGCTGGCGATGAAGCTTCTTGGTTGGGTGAACACCGGGGTGCTTGGAGCGTACGACGAAGAGAGATGGAGTGAGAGACCGAGCGAGAGATAGAGAGAGAGAATGGCAATGGCGGCGTCGAGAGAGACGGAGAGAGAGAGAGACTTTTGGACAGTGGGTGGCAGTGATATGGTTCACATGAAGAGAGAGAGAGATCGGCAAAGGGTTTTGAGTTATGTTTCTCTCGAAATGAAGACAAATTCGCGCTTATATTTCATTTTTTGGTTTCTGCGCCCACATTAAACGACGGTTTTATGTAAAATTGTCGTCTAATATTTTGCTAGTTGGCCAGCGTTTTAGGGCAGCACACTAAACAACGATTTTTTATAAAATTGTCGTCTAGTTAGAGACGTTAAATGTCAATTTTATTTGTAGTGATTGTATAATGAAATCGGTGTGCTTATGTCCCTTTTTTTTTTTTCATTTGCCTTTCTCTATAATGTTGTTGTTTTTGTTAGACCTCGTGGCTAGATTCTGAACCTTTTCAATTTTGTTTTTGTTTTTTTTTTTTTTATTATTATTAAGTTAAAGATCAGGATAATTTGAGTTGTTTAATAGGTAGTAATGTAGTTGGGATATGTTTAAATCTCTCTATTCTAAGTTCCTATGTCTCCATTTATAACATCAATGCCACATTGGCTATATATATTTCAATTTTTTTTTTTTTTGCTGAAAATATATAGTTCAGTTAAGCAATAAGCATGCACAAATATTAAGCTGATTTTATACACGAATCATATAAAAAGAACATAAGGAATTGTTAAATATAATCTAAACATTTTATCTGGTATACAGATAAAGAAGCCAAACTTCTATGATGAATCTTTTTTCTTTCTTTTTTTTTTTTCCATTTTGTCATTTTTTTTTCTCTCCTCACTTCAGTTCACTCCTCCCAGTCAAACTCTCATGACTTTGAAAAACATAACTCAAGTAATTAAACAACCCTCCAAATTAAGGGTGTCTTCCTATAGCTTTGCCACAGAGCAGAACATTGGAAGGAATGTCATATTCATTGGCAAGGCTGTGGACTGGGTTCCACACCTTCAGATACACTTGTTGTCCCAAGTATTGCCTTTCCCATAGAGCAGATCTCAAGTTCCACATCCCTTGGTTGTCTAGTGACACTAATATTGCTGTCCAAGATTTTGGATACACCTTCAAAAATGCAAATAAAAATTAGCACCAAAAAAAAAAAAGATAAAACATGCGCTTAAAAAGAGAAATCTTTGCTCGGGTACAGAGCAATTCTGACATTCTACGTAGTTTTTAACCATTAGATCTCATCAACCTCAAATCTCATATCATCTCATTTTGATGTAAATAAGATGTAGTCTAATCCTCATAAGCCCATAAACCACCCCATCTATTGCCGATGTCAGACTTTTTCGCATACCAACGCCTTGTACTATCAATAGTCGGAACTACAAAAAAATAAAATAAAATAAAAAATACCTGAGCAGTGTGTCTTGTAAGAGCATCCACTAGATTGTAGGTCCTTCTCTTGGCTTCTGTCCATTGTCCAGATCCATAACTGCATTTGTAGAAACAATAAGAATCAAATAAATAAACACTAACAATTCTCATACAACAAGTGAAAACACACAAGTATTGCATTTGGTGAATTTAGTACTTACCCAACAACCCAGAAATCATAACCATCAAGATGCCAAGACTGCATGGTATTCTCGGTGTTTTGGAAGACGATCTCGATGAAGTCGTGGAGCGAGGTGAGAATGACAGAAGTAGCAACAAATGCAGGACCATCAGAGGGCTGTATTTGGATGGTACTCTCACTGAAGACTCCAGGGATGTTGAAGTGATCTGCAAGCTTTAGAGGGGTGTCGGGGTTGATGTAGGACACCCGGTTAACTGCGTAACGCTGCTTTCCGTTTATCCAAGCAGGCGAGCTGGCCAATACGATTCTCTTTGTTATTGGTACCTTTCCATAATGGTATGATCCCTGAGGGTTTGGCCTGGCTGCATTTGCTGTCAAATTCCACCTGTTCAAGAACCACAATTTCAATAAGCTCATGTGTAGGTCATAATGTATAATCTCATGTTTTACTTATAGGAACCTAGAAGGACGTTTCCATCCTTTCTACTTGTTAATTTGTTCACTAACAAAAGTAGGAATGAAACTCTTGTAAGCCTAAACTTTGCGGAATAATCTTTAGAGCCCTTCCCTTTGATTCTAGAATTGGAAAACAGTATTAAGTTATTTTTATCCCTTATTAATTTCTGAAAATAACACTGGAAACTTGATCTCCTATTGCTTAATTACTAATTTTAAGTACATTTTTGTATTTGAGTTATCTTAATTCCTATACCTTAATGTAGTAAACACCAGAAACGAAATGAGCTTAATTCCAAATGCTTCATTACATTCTTACATTTCCTTTTCCCTTGCTAAGTCTTGCCCTTTCCAACTTTATTTCATTAAGAATCGCATTAAACACACCATAAAAGCTCAAACACTGCAATGCTCCTATTGATGTTTACTTATTTGTTTATTTATTTATATGTATGTGTGTGTGGACCTGAAGGTTCTGGCTTGCAACATAGACCAGTGTAATCCGTATTTAGGAGGAGCAGGCAAGGGACCAGAAGCCGGGGTGTGAGAGTTTGAGTAATGCAGAATCGCCTCGGCTGTAAGAACACTCCTGCTAAATCTTGTGGAGGCAACAATGTAGTAGTCTTTTGGAGCCTGATTTAAGGTAACCAAGACGGCTACAGATTGCCCAACATGGACATCCAGAGAGTCGTATACGTTCTGAATAGTGTGCGATCCTTCAACCTCGACTAACTTCATTGTGTGGTTCTGAATCCTAAAGTTGAATGAGGTTGAAAAGCCCACGTTTGAGACCCTAAACTTGTATGTCTTGCCTGCATCAACATAACATATAAAACCAATGGTTTTAAAACATTCTTATTTTTCTTTTGAAAAAGACAAACAGAAAAAACCAGTGTTTCTTCTCAAGGATTACCTTGATCACCAGTGAAAGTGGTTGTAACCTGGCCATTTATGAGGATTCCATCAGGAAAAGGAAGAGATTTTCCTGAGTCCAAAGACCCTTGTAATGCCTGCAAATATAGTAGTGATTATCAGACACTGACACACTTTTAGCAGTAAAAATAGAACTAAAAAAATGAGAATTTTTAGGACATGGTTTTCCATCAGTTCCATTAATTTGTCATCTCTTTCTTAATTTGATATTATTCTAATATAATCTGACGATTCAAAATTATATCTTATTTTGTACATTATTTTCCTACCCTACCACAGAATTCTCCGAGTATAGCTAGATAAGTGAAATGCTTACCTTGTGGCTGGTCTTGTACCAATCACCAATAAGCAAAGTAAAATCTCCATCTGGCCACGAATAAGGGATTGGAATTCGCGGTCTCTGATAGATGTTGAAGGCTCCAAACCCTCCAGCAGCTTTGTGGAATAGAGTTGATGGGAAATATGTGAAGGTACCAATTTGATCTTTGGCTTGGAACTTGTAGGTGTAGTTTGAGTTTGGTGGGATGGGGCAATTGGTTCCTGAAACTCCATCTTGCCACGAGTTCTTCCTCTGCTTAATCCCATTCCTATGACCATAACCAAAACAAAAGGTATCCACTTCATTCTTACGAATGCCTCAATCAAAATTCAGAACATCAACCACGTGATTCTTAACCAAGAGGTCTCTACACTTTAGAGTGTTAATCCCAAATTTCAGCCTTTGGACTATCAGCCATATCTCGTTTTAGTTCTTAACTCTTAAACGTCATAGAACGAGTGCCAAATCTATCAAGTTGTCCCAAATTAGTCTTTTACGTCCATAATCTTTATAGAAAAAGATACAACTTCCTTCTTAATAATAATGTTCCAACATTACAAAATTAATTCCTACTAAATTGCAAATGGTTGGTATATGCCTTTCTTTGTCGAGATTTCAACAATGACAGAATGACTAATTTAGGACAACTTGATAGATTAGGGACATGTTCCGAGGCATTTTAAATGTTAAGAACTAAAAATAAGATTTGGTCTATAATTCAGGAACTAAAAGTCAGATTAAGCCGAAAAATAAAAGAAGCAAAAAAGTTGAAGTTTAGAATGGAATAGACACTTCTGAAACACTTAAAAGCGAAAATTAGTTTTAGGAAGAGTTCAGTAGTTTAGTCACATTTGCCAAATCAGCTTATAAAATAAACACAACAATGAAAACAATGTTTGACATTTTCATTAAACAAGTGGAAATTACAACTACAAGCCATGAAAGAAACAGAGGAAAAGAACAAGTTCTTGCACAGATCTACAATGGGGAAAGAAATAAATCAAGAGAGAAGTGAAAGAAACTCACCAGGTTAAGAGAAAAGGTTGGTCGAGCTTGTTAATGAGGTTAAGGATGATATTGTTATTCGTCACAACTTCAAGACTCGGCCCAGGAAACTGACCATTGATAAGAATTACCTGGCAAAAAAAACGACACAAAAAATCTTCAGAAATCCTAAAAACTACTATTCTAATACTTCAGATCTAAGACCACAAAAAAAAAAAAGAAAGAAAAAAAAGAAAAAAAGAGCAAATCAATAAGTATCAAACAAACCTGTTGAGGAACACCAAGTGGAGAAATAGTCCCGTATGTGACGGTCCAAGTGTAGTACCGATATGGGTCATCTGCTTTTACGTCACAAACACTGAAAACGGCAAGAATCCCACATATCAAATGTCCCAAAACTTTGTTATCTTTCTTATCCATTGTTAAAAGTTGTAACCTGCAAAATGAGCAGAGACAAGACAACCCCAGAAAGATATTGTTATATATTCAGAACCTGAGAACAAGACATTAAAATGTAGCTCGAATCTGAGATGTGGAAAGCTACCAGAGATATCAAGGGTACTAAAGGGAAATCCTTTTTCCAGATAATAAAGTTGAGGAGCCAGAGTTTGTGAGTGCCTTAAATAAGTATTGCGCGGGAAGAGAAAAAAGAGCTTCCCTGGATAATGTTGTTCCGCGTGTTCTCTTTTATTATTATTATTTTTCTTTTCAAGAAACCGTGTCTCCGTAAGTTGTGTTAAATTGTAATCTTTTTCTTTATTTTATTTGAGTCTGGTGCAGTGCAACCGGACGGTTTAAAATTATGGTTGTGTTTATTTTATTAATTTGAGTTTAAAATTTATTTTTGTTTCAGTAAAAAATTTGTATTTTGTTATAGTAAAAAAATTTTAAAAACAGTTATATTTAATTTTTTTATTACAGTAAAAAATTTTCATATAAAATTATATTTTAACTCAAATTAAAAATTTAAATTAATAAATTAAACGAACATTACCGGGATTTTCTCACAATAATGAACCCGTCATTGTGAGAAACCCCGGGTTGAGGATTTTTTTTTCTTTCCAATCTTAGAAATTTTGCCTTTTCTTTATTTCTTTTTGGTTGGGAGTTGGGGGCCAGATTCTCTGGGCAAGTGAGGGAACTGGGTGTGGTAGAACTAGTTATTTAACCAACAATTATTGCTTATTTGCTTTTGTAATCTGAAAACGCGTTTTGATGATTGTGTATGGTTGCTTAGAAAGAAAGGAAAGGAATTTAACTCTCATCATTCAAGGATGAAAAGGGAGAAAAAAAAAAAAAAAAGTAACAATTTGGGGCATATTTTTGACCAAAACTCCCACTAGTTTCGCCTGTGATTGTTGCTCTTCTTTATCTCAAACTAGCCTTTTTTTTCGTTTGTTTCTCTTTCCATTAAAAAGTTGGGGTCTTCTTTCCTAATTAATACCGTCCATGTGCATGTTGGTTTAGAAACATAACTCATTTCCAAAAGAAATCTTACGTAATGATTTGGAAACTAAAACGAGTAAACTACTTTTTATCATTTTTATTGGTAGTAGTTTGCACATGCATAAGAAAAATTAAACACTTTGTCTTCACCACATAAATTTACCTAGGCAGACCAAATATGAAATTACATATAAATGATACATATATATATATGCAGTATATGGATATGATATATGTATATAAAGTATGTATGTCACCCTATTGTCGCCCATAATCTTTGTGATTATTATAGGACTTGTCTTGGACGCATAAGAATATTGATTACAGCTAATGATATGCTTAAGATACCATGCGCATTTCCACTACTTGCTGTTCAAACCTCAAACAAAGAATTGACTTTCTGTAGCCAAAAAGAATATACACACAAAAAAAAAAAAACACAACCAAACGAGGAGATAATAGAGCTAAAGCCGGTGGAATGTGTACGAATCAAATGCAAAAGACAAAGCAGTGAAGTACTTGATCGAAGGGCGCCATACCTACCCAAGATATCAACTTTCCATTACAGATGACATGAGAGTACGACTGCAATATATATAGCAATACCCATGTGCTTCACAGCTATCAATTCACATCCCACTAGACTTCTTTAGTTCTCCACTCTCTGGTGTGGGAGTTGTTACGGTAAAACATGTTATTTTGCTTTATTTAGTTCCATCTACGTTAGCAATTCAGATAGCGACACGACGACGCGACTTAAAATTTACACGAAATTAACGGATTTGGCTTTATTATAAATAGGTTTGGTTCATAATCGAGTTGACGCGATTAATAAATGGGTTAAGTTATGGTTGACCTACTAACACATAATGACACGTATTGATACGATTAACTATATGTGTCTTCTACAATCTAATAATATGTGATATAACATAAAAGTTTATATGACATATTAAATACAAATAATGTAAATTTAAATATTCGTAGGTAAAATTCATTTTTTTAAAAGGAAAAAATAAATTGACCAATAAACATGTTAAACATGTATTAACTGTTTTAATTAAGTCATTATTATATTAGTTACTTATTAAATATATTAATTTAAACTGGTTATATGGGTTGACACGATTAACACGATTAATAAATGGGTCGTGTTTGGGTTGACATTTTTGACATGTTTAATAAACAGGTCGTGTTGGGTTGATGTTTTCTGACACGATTAATAAACAGGTTGACACGAACACGACCCACTAACACGAATTGCCATCCTTAGTTCCATCAATGGAAATTATATTTTATTATTGGATCAATTTCTTAATAGCTATATATGCAATAAGTGCAGTTTTATGTGGTGCACTGTAAATTTTTAATAGGTACTTGCACGTATCTAAATGTTAAAAAACTAATCTAACATTTTAAAACTTTTTGTTCCCACCGATAGAGTAATAGCATGCTTCACTATAAAGATTTCCTACAAGGAAAGAAAAAAAATAATAAATAAAGGTGCTACTGTAACCTCTTATTGATAGTGTGTATTTATAATCGTTAAATTTGATCAAAGTTATATTAAATTAAAAAAGTATGTTTGTTTGTAATAATTTATTTTTAGAAAAACTTACCATAAAAATATCAAATAAATGATGAGAGAATTGTACTATAAAAATACTAAATAATACATTATTGGTAGAGTATCAGTTTAAATTGTTAGACTTTTATTAAGTTCTATTGAATTCCCGTAAACTGTATTTTTCTTTAATTTGATATGATTTGGACGTGTTTGAGAGTATAAAATTTTGTCCTACTAGAAGAGTTCTTTTCTATAACCTACTATAACGTCCTCATAAATAATATGAACAATAAGATTAAAGATAAGTTGGTCAAATGATTAACTCAACCCCTACATAGGAAATAAGGTTTTTAAGTACAAGTTGTGGCACTGGATCGAAGAGGAGCCATACAATTGGAGGAATCCCAAAGACCTTTGTGATTATAAAATGGGTGGATTGGACTGTGTTTAAGTAATACGTATCGTATACCAAATTGCACATTGGATTATACTACTATTGCGGCATAATAACGGGACTAGTGTATTCTTTATTTTGTTAGTCTCCCAACATCACAATATTAATATTTGAGAAAAGCTGCACAATTTATAGGAATACCAAAATTCCTAGCAGAGAATGCAGAAAGAAAACAATAATTTTAAAAAAAAATAAAAAAAAAAATGAGACAGAAAACAATACACCACACACGGATTGTTCAGATGGCTACAAAATAATATTTATAGATGGTCGGAGTAATACAAGTTGCTTAAGCTTCTCACACAACTTCCATGAATGATATTAATACAACAAGTGTCTCTTGTATGTGTGTGACTGCTGTAAACTTCCTACAGCTAGCATTATGCTGTAGAAATGTTCACCGCTGATAGAAATATAATGCATTTATTATTTCTTTTATTTTTTTTCAAGGGATTTAAACTTTATACTTTTAAATATAATCGGGTTTCAATTTAGATTTAAACGAACTATGCACGCAACCACTAAATCATATAATACTTTATATTTGAACCGTTCCTTCCTAAGGTAAAAATATTTATGACATATCATATATATATATATATATATATATATATATCATATGGCGAGTGTGAAGTTATGTACCTTTCTCTTCTCCAAGGGATAAAAGGGGAAAAATAAGATTATTATAAGAAGCGTTAAATTGAGAAATTAACGCGGTTGAGGCAAGAAGTGAGGTCCATTAATATATGATGGTGTTCCATCATGGCGGTGGATTTGTAAATAGGGTTTTGAGGTACTGTTGGGAACATTATGATTCTATGAAGAAGTAATAATGAGGAGAGCCATTTAGGTGCCTTCTTGGCTACCCAAATCTTAGCATCATTGATAGAAGACACATATCATAAAATCAAAAGCTTGTTCACAACACTTTCTGCTACAAAAGCAAAGAGTTTACCATGGAATTCGACACGTGGGACTTTCGTAGGATAACGAAGATTATGCAAAATACAAACTTAAATGCTCCTTTCCCAGCAAATAAATAAATAAATAAATAAATATTCCATTCTTTAAATAAATAAATAAAAAGAGCTCCATTTTCTATGAACATACAATAAAAAAAAAAACGAGTATTCTTGGTGGCCCGAGGAAAGGGAGGGGCGCCGAGCCCAGCCTGAAAGCTAGATGGGCCGAGGTTGGGACGAACTGATCCGAAGTTTTTTAAGATAATTTTTAAAGAAAAATAATTTTAAAACGATGTACTGACTAGATCGACTTAAATAGATGTTTAAGCCTAAAGTCTTGGTCCAATTCGGGCTGAGTCTTTTACGGATCGGGCCCGAGCCAAACATTATAGGCTATGGGACTACGAGTGTAATAGGAGCATCCGTCGATAAAAGAATCACTCTAAGATGATCATTTCATGACTATTGAAAACGAATCAAATCAGATGGTTTTATTTATCAATCTTTCTGACGATACCAATGTCGAAAAGATTGAGAAAAATCATTCATTCACAATCACTGATGAAGGATTTGAACCGGCCCAGACTTGCAGTCCTAATCAAAAGAGAAAAAACCTAATATTGAGGTGGACAAAATAAAATAAACTTAGACATTACCCAGAAATCTCAATATAAAAAGAAAAAGGTGAAATTATTTTACCCATTTATTGATATGCTCAAAGTTCAAGTTCTCTTTTATAAAGTGTCGGAATTCATTTTGCAGATCCCTAATCTTCACATTGATTTAAGGTGAAGAATGACATATTATTAACTATAAGAATCAGCCGACATTAGAAGAATTAGATCTTTATATTGAGATCTAATTGAAAGCGATCAATAACAACACAAACAAATCAAAATAAAGAGAAAACATAAGAATTTAGAGTGGTTCGACCTAATCTAAGCTAAGTCCACTATGATTGCTGAGCTTTTCATTGAATTTCTAGGATTGCACTCTCAAACTCTTTATTACATGCTCTCTCAACATAAAATGTAAGCAAGAAAAATTAAAGCCTTTGTCTAAAAGTGAGAGTTTGAATCCTTTTTTTGGCCCTAAGCTTTTCCCATAGATAGGAGACTTCTCATGATGATTCCACCGAACGTGGTTCCCCCACGTCCTCTCTAGTTTGGTAAGTTGTGAAGCTGCGAGCTCGCTTGGCCTTGAACTTGCTGATTTCGTAATTTATCTTCATTCTCAAATACATGTGTTGACACGTGTATGCTGATGGATGAAGTATGAAATGTTGGCTTTAAAGTTTCATTAAATTAATTAACGATGATTTTAATGAGAACAAATAAATTAATTGATTATTACTAATATTTGTCTTGAGTTTGTTTTATGCTTAAAGTGTCCAGGATTATAAATAACTCAAGAAAGATTGGAAAATTTCAAATAGTGCTCTCAAATTCAAAGCTCGGAACTAAGAAAAAATAAGCTTGAAGATGGATTTTAGAACTTGACGAAATAATTTACAAGACTTGCTCACATAGTTTTTTTTATTTCTACTATTTTAGTATTGTATTTGATGTTTGAGCATTTAGCAAAAATTGTCTCATTACTTTGGCTCAAAGTTTTTCACTAAAACTTGTTTCTGAAAATCCTTTCGAGCGACAATTTTAAATCCAAATGAATTTTAAAAATTATGAAAAATTATACGATGTTTTATAAGGTTAATAGGAGGCTTGTATCTGAAAATTGCTTTAAAATAAAAATTTTTAAGCCCTCCTGAAAGCCACATTTAGTAGCTGTACAGTAACCGTTTGGTTAATCGGACGGGTTTAACCAAACGTGCCCAACGACTAGTTGAAACCAACTGTTAGACACGATGCCAAACAACTCTATTTCGAAGTTTTTGATACTTAAGGGGTCTTTTCTTGTCCAAAATCGTTGTTGAACATTTCTAAGAGCACCAAAATAGTATCTAAATATTGTTGAACTCAAATTCCATTAATTTTCTTCATATTATGCTTTTAAAACACATTTTGAGCCAAACATGAGATTATTCTTCCTTTGGTGTGAAAAACATCTCCTAGTACCTTACTTGTAATAAAAAAAAAAAAAGTTGAGGGATATTCTCTTGAGTGATCAAACTTTAGAATTCCATTATTCTACCAAAGTTTTAGGTTGCCAATCCCTTTATAAATTTAGTGAGATATGATAGGCCAACATCATTAGTTAAAGCTTGGCAATGATAATGGGTGTGGTGAACCTTGAGAAATAAATTCACCGGTTTGTACTTGGTGTGGTCGGGCCGAAAGTCAATCGAGATAGTGGAAGAGGCCAGATTGAGATTTGCTCCATAACAGTGGATGTAGGCTTTTAGACGAACCACTATAAATAATGTTTGCACTCTCTAACCTTATCTCCGTTACATATTATTTGTTTGATATATTGTGTAGCTTGTGATTTTACCTTATAGTGTGCTTTTATATTTTGTCATTGTTCTTGATTTTGTTAGTATCATTTTCTTACTTGATCACTTATTCATATGTGCTTTGTTCATCTAGTTTCATTTGTTTGTGTTTAGAGTAAACTTTCCAACAATTATTGTTTGATTCTCGAAAAGTTTTAAAAACCCAATTCACCTCATCTTAGGTAGCAATTCTTGGGAGAACATGAAATCTGACCTCAACACATAGGATGAGTAAAAATATCCAGAGATTGTGATATTTGCACATAAATTTGTAAAATAAACCGTATTGCCAATTATGTCTTTTGTTAACCACCTTTAAAATCAATTATACAAATTCATAATCACCCATATAAAAAAGGGTATTTGGAATCTCAATAATCATAAAATGAACCAATCGACAACATTATTAAATTTAAGTTATATACTAACCAAGAAGTTTCAAAATTATTTCTAAAAACAATATAATAATAATTTGAGAAAGTTTATTAATACCCAAAGTTTTTATCAAGCACCTCAACATATTTAAAACTTAAAATTACTTTCTTTTTAAATTTGCAATCCCCTATTGTTCCATAAATACCCTTATGTATACCCCATATTTTACCACTTTTAAAAAACGGTTTCTTAAAAAGATTTACTTTCCTATTTTTGTGCTAAATCTTTCAATTTGAACTTGTTTAAAAAAAAATCTCCATTTGAATATTTTATTCATAAATAGTAGAAAATATGCGAATATGAAAAGCTTAAGAAAGTATATAGGCCAATTTTTAGTTATAGAAATTAATAGGTCATAACTTGTCAAGTTATGGTTCATAGTCAGACAAGTTATGAACAAAAACCGTGATTTATAGATAATAACTTGTCAAGTTATGGTTCATAACCAGACAAGTTATGGACAAAAATAATAATTTGGCCTATTTATTAACTTATGTAAACAATTGGCCTATTAATTTTAATTCATCTCAAATTTTTACCTATTTCCCTCTTTCTCCCTATTTTATTTCTCGTTTAAATGACTTGGTTCTTAAACCATATGTTAAAGAAGCATTTGCGCTCAGCACAAGTAGATTTTGAGATATCATGGTCTACGATTCATAATTTATTAGAGCTACAACAACAGATAAATAAAAGCATCCTTTGAGAAAAGCTTGACAACTGTTCAACATAATTTCCAACCTATACTTTTTTAAGAACTGAGAGAATTTGTTCCTAAAAATGCTCTTGATAAGGTGGAGTCCAAGCGAGGAAATGATATTTGGTTTGATGTTCAAATTTGTGGTTGTGTTATTCGATTTAATTTGTTAGATTTATTATTGAACAATGATTTAAATTTTTTAAATGCAGCAATTTAAATTCTCTTTGTCGTTTAATTTCTTTAAAAATTATTCTATTAGGAGCTTTTTTTGATTTTTTTAATTAAGAAAATGATAAACTCTACGCACATCCTTCTTTCTTTAATACTTTTTATGATGAGAATGATGGAGAAAACAGAATAGCTTAGTCAAGTGAACGTAATCAAGTTTTTTTTTTTTTTTTTTTTGAAAGAGCAATCAAATAATTTGATATTTAAATAAAAATAGCAAAAAAGTAAAGGAAAGAAAAAAAAATAATCGTTCAAGTTCGAAAAAGATATTTGATCTTTTTCAAGTTTAAATAAAAATAGAAAAAAAAATTCAAGTTCAAAAAAGATATCTTGTCACGTTCAAGTTTATCTCACTTAAAAATAGAGAGAAAATAAACCCTTTTAAGAAACTGTTTTTTAAAAGTAGAAAAGTAAGAGTCTACATAAGAATATTTATAGAATTATAAGAGATTTTAATTGTAAAAAGGGAATTAATTTTTAAAAATTAGGTGCCTTAATAAAGGATGCCAATGGACTTTTCCTGATGATTTGCATGGATACTGATGCCATGGACTTATAATCAAGCAAAGTTTCTTTGGGCTGGACTTGTTATTATTTGGTATCCACATCCTACTTGGGCCTAACACTGTAAGAAGCCTCCTTGGCATTATATATTCGGTCACTAGACAAGTCACAAGTCTAAACTAGCCAGCTTTGAGTGCCACGAAGGCTGCATGGTTTCCACGTCTCCCTATTTCTTTAACACGTGTAAGCCCCATCCACAGCATTACATCAATACCTCAGGCTCACCGAGAACAACTTAAATTCAACAATATTTTTAAATCTAGAAATAAGGAAAAAAAAAAAAAAAAAAAAAAAAACCACACAAAATCAAAATCTCCATCTTAAGCTTCATTTCAATAATCCTCAAAAAAACATGTCTAGTACATCTCAATCTCCACTACCCACATTAGGTAATTATTTTACATAAATGTTACCAATTCAATAAACACACAAATTTTACTTATAATAAGCTTAATTATTTCTAACTAGCTACAGTGCTTGATTTGGTGCAGATATCATGAGAGATATTTTCCTGTGGAGGAAGAAGAAACAAAGCCTACTTGTTCTTGTCGTATCAACAGCAACATGTGTGCTGCTAGAAGTCTACCAATTCAACTTCCTCACTGTCGTTTCTTGGCTGGCTATGTTCATTGTCGTTTCACTCTTCCTCTGGGGAAACCTAGTTAGGCTTCTTGGCAAGTGAGTACTTAATTTTGTTCATTGGAAAACAAGATTTGGGTGTGAGAAATTAAAGAAAATTTTTTTTCTTGGTTTTAAATGCTTTTAGAGAGCCACCAAACTTGTTGGGACTAGAGATTACAGAAGAGTCGACTATAAAACTGGCTATGGCGTTGCGTACATGGACAGAAGAAGGAATAAGGTGGATGTTCCGAGTGGGAGCCCAAAGAGATTTGTTTTCCTTTGCTTTAACTGTTGGTGGATTATGGTTATTTTCCCAAGTGGCAAATTACTTTGACCTCTTGACTCTTCTTTATACAGGTAAAAATAAACATAACTAAGATACAAGTTTTTTTTTCGGCTAGTTTGAATTATAATTCAAGTTTATAAATATGTTTTTCTTAGGAATTATTATGGGCATGACAATTCCTCCCGTATACGTGAAATATGAAGATAAGATAAAGAGGTGTAATGAGAGGGTAAAGAAACAGTTGAAAAGGTACTATGACAGTTTTGACGAGAAGGTGATGAAGAAAGTGAAGACCAAGGTGGGGACCACTACCACTACCACTACCACCATAGAAGAAAAGGAGAGAAAGTTTAAATAGTTGCTTTGCTTATTTTGGGTAGAAGTCTAATTTGTGTACAAATATAATATATGTGCTCTTGATTAATATTTCATTATCAGGAGTTTTAATTAAGTACATTTCTATAATATAAAATCCGTCTTACATGTGTTTTAGACGAGTAATTTGCTGTCGTATGTAGGTTAATTAGTAAGACAAGTGAAGGGCAAATTTCTTGAAAGCTAAGCATAAATACAATATTTAGTTTAAATAAAAGTTTAAAAGCAAATTTGCCTAAAGGCGGACTCGTGGCGCAATGGTAGCGCGTCTGACTCCAGATCAGAAGGTTGCGTGTTCGATTCACGTCGGGTTCAATTCCCTTATTTTTGCATGCCGCAGTTTTTATCTTCAATTTTTAAGAATCAGTATTATTAGCAGTTGTGCCACTGAATTTAATAGTTCAACAATAAACAATTTCATCCTTCCTTCTTATAAACATTTCTTATTGGCAACCTAATCCGCGAATTTTCAAAGAGTGGTAATTAATTCCAAATATTAAGAAGAATAAAATTTGTACGTAATTTTGAATGTTGCTTACTAATTTATGGATTGGATTATTTAAAAAGAATTAGAGTATCAATAATAAAGTCTTTTTTTCATTTTTATATGTGAAGTTTGATGAAATCTTTATTATCTTATAAAATTTAAATTGTCAATAATAATAGAGTTTAATGTTATTATCTTATAAAATTTAAGGATGAAATTTGTAAATTATTTTTATAAGTGAAATTAATTAGATTGTCGATTCGTCGTAATAAACTTATATGTAAAATCTCGTGAACTTTTTATTTTACACATTGTTGCTTATTCTTCTCGTGGAGGGTCAAAGTGATAAGATCTTTTGATTGATTTGATTTTGTGCCACTTCTAGCTAAACTATTGTTGGCTGATGATACTATTTTACTCGGTCTAATAATCATGGAACATTCCAAAATTTCAACACGGAAAGAAATCAGAATTTCATCGCCTAGACCGAGTTAAAGTCTTATTGTCTGTTTAATTCGTCAATTTAAATTTTGTGTCTATTTAATTCGTCAATTTAAATTTTTAATTTGAATTAATATGTGATTTTATGTGAGAATTTTTTACTGTAATAAAAAGTTAAATATCTATTCTTTCACTAATTTCATCTTGAGTCCAGATTTATTCTCTCTATTTTTTTTTATCTCGATAGCTTTTTTTTTTATCTCAATGGCTATCACTTTACTAATTATTTATCAGGTTTATTATATAAATAAGAATAAAATATTAAAAATATTTAAATAAATTACAATGTATCAAAATTTAATTGGAAGCAAGTCACCGAGAAGAGAACGTTTGGTTTATATATTCAGAATCATGATTCTGAAGTATTCTCATTTTATGTGTATTTTTTATGAGAGAAAATACTATAAAAAATCATGAATTATTATTCATAATCATATACGAATATAAGAAACAAACGTTCCAGAATCAACACTTTCATTAATTACTACGACAGTTCAAAGCAACTTCCACGAAACCAAACCTGCCCTTCTCAGTTCTCAATGCGCCCTCTATAAACATTTTGGACATTATTTGATGCTTAAATGCATACATTCATGAATAAGAAAATCTCTCCCACCCAAAAAAAAAACGGCTTCATAAACAAGTTTGATGGCGGAACTGGTTATCCTCGAGTTTGCGCTGCAAGTCGCATACAATAAGCTCTTGCAAGCCGTGGACCATGCGGAACATGGCCTATGTATGTCCGACTCTGCTCTCTACAACCTCAAGTGCACGGTCAATCGCTTAAAACCGAAGATCGACGAGATCATTTCGTTGAATCAGAGGCTTGAGAATTCTTCCGACGAAGAGATCCGAGAACTGGTTTTGAAAGCTGAGCGGATCGTGAGAGAATGCTCGGAGATTGCTTGGTGGAACTTGTGGAAGAAGTACATGTACTCGAAGAAGATCAAGCGATTGGATTTGATGCTTCGTCAGCTGATTGAAATTGATCTTCAGTTGGATCAGAGGATCGCGGTGTTGCAGATTTCAAAGCAAGTGGAGGAGCTGAGGAGATCAGTCTCAATGACGATGGGAGAGAGGAAGAGTGAGAAGAGGACTTTCGGAGGTAGCCGAACTAGGGTTTTGCGGGTGGTTTCGAGAGTGAAGAGATCTGTTATTTCCACGCAAAGTTGGATCTTTGTTTGTTTAATTTCGTTTTTCAGAATAAACAAGTGGGGCTATCAGAAGCTAACAAGCAGGTTCGCTTCGGTTCCAACTAATTAAGGGGGATAGAAAATAGATTAAAAGCAATAAACCATGTGATTCTCTTTGCAATTAATCCAATAAAAAAGGTCAGGTGGTAATACTTCATGTTATTGTTTGTCTTTTTTCTTGTATTTCAGTTTTTTGAATTGTTGTATACGTTACAGGACACAATCCCTATGTTTTCGTGGAATGTGGTTCGTCCATGATGTACTGGCCATGTCAATTGTTAACAAGATGACATGAAAATCCGTTATCTAATATGTACTTGAAAAATTATTTGAAATAAATGGAATGCAACCAGTTGAAACAACGCTTTTATCAGCGCTGAATGGTCAAAGAATGGAAGAATTATGTATACAGATATATATATATATATATAATTATAATACAGAATGTTAGTATTGTTCAAGTCTGAATAATACCTTTTCCTCTCTTTTTACATGATCAACCGTGAAAGACTCAAATTTTGATGTTGATGCTGAAATACTCAAATAACCAAACATTTCTGAAATGGTTGATTGTCCTCTGAGAAAGTTAAATCGCCAATAGTCCCTGCAAGAACAGCTGCCATTCTCAAAACAATGAAACCGATTCGAATCCCTCACAATTATCTTTCTATCGACAATTTTAGAGATAAACTTGATGGCGGTATGGCAGTCCACGCAGGTTCTTAGATTCTTGAAAACCTTAATTGGTGTTCCTGGTGGAGTAGATATAATTCCAAATGCAACTGCAAGCTTCTCACTGTGATAAGCTAGGTTTTGTTCTTTCTGCTCTTCTTCGACGTCATGTAACACGAAGTTCGTGTTTGGGATGTACCCTTCTTCCCTCATCCTCTTTGAAAGCTTTTGCAAAAACATATCGATTTCATTGAATCTTGGATGAGACATGTCCCCTATTGTAAATGCATGTTTTTCTCTCTTGATCTCAATCCAACTCAAACCGGGTTTCTTTGCCACCTTTCTCTTGTCCATGGTCTTTCTGACCTTGGCCACTTCACCCCACATGCCAGCAGCAGCATAAATGTTACCTAGAGTAACATATGTTGCAGGATTTTCGGGCTCTATCTCAAACAGTGCCTCAGCAGCTCGTTTCGCGAGCTCGAGGTTTCCATAAATTCTACAACCACCAAGAAGGGAAGCCCACAAGAATTTATCCGGTCTTATGGGCATTCCGTTGATGATTTCTTCAGCTTCTTTGAACCGGCCAGCTCGGGCCAATATATCAACTATACAGGCATAATGGTCTGCAGTATATCCTAGCCCATGTTTTGTCTTTATTGAGTGAAAATATTCAAGTCCCTTGTCAACTAATCCCGCATGAGTACAAGCAGAAAGAACACCTACAAAAGTAACATGATCAGGCTTTATGCCTGATTTGTGTAGCGATTCGAACATCTGAAGCGCCTCATTCGGTTGACCGTGTTGAGCATATCCGACAATTAGAGAAGTCCACGATACTAAATCAGGCTTAGGCATCCCTTTAAACACTCTTTTTGCGTTCTCAATGTTCCCACATTTAGCATACATGTGCACAAGGGCACTTGCTGCAAACGAAAGTGGATCAAACCCTATCCTAGTCATGTATCCGTGGACTTGCTTACCTAGATCCCCAGCCGCATGATCAGCGCATGCATTTAAAACCCCAGAAAACGTAAACCCATTAGGCCTAGTTCCCGAACTCATCAACTCCATGAACAAAGAAAATCCATCTTTACTCCTCCCACTTCTAAAGCATCTGTCAATCATGGCAGTCCACGTAACAACATCTCGCTCCACCATCTTATCAAAAACACGCCTAGCTTCATCTATATTCCCACATTTCCCATACATATCCAACAAGGCACTCAAAACCACCTCATCCGAGTCCAACCCTGTTCTCATTACGTAACCATGAATCTCTTTCCCCACACGCAAACTCGGTATAGCTGCTGCAGCAGCAAGAACACTAGACACGGTAAACTTATCACACCTCGACTTCTCACATCTTTGCATCATCCTATACAACTCTAAACCCTCTTTGGCCCAGTCTTGGCGAACATACCCCGATATCATCGCCGACCAAGAATAATGATCTCTATCGGGCATTTCATCGAACAATCTCCGGGCTTCATCAAGCTTCCCGACTTTAGCATACCCGGAAATCATGGTATTCCAAGAACACAAATCCTTGTCAGGCATTTCATCAAACACCTTCCGGGCATCCCCAAGACACCCACATTTGGCATACAAATCGATAAAACGATTAGATATAAACAACCCGGGAACTAACCCGGAGGCTTTGGTGTGAGCATGGACCAGTTTTCCTTCTTCAAGAGCTCGTTCATGAAGGCAATGGCATAAAATAGTAGAGTATATTAAAGCAGAAGGTCGTTCTATACGGTTGAGCAATTGAACGGCCTCTTTTAAACGCTTTTGGTCGCAGAGAATGTCCACGGCTTCTTTGTATCTCTTGTCAATGCACAATCGGCTTATGAGGCCATCTTTGGAATTAGATTTGAAGAAACTCTTCTCAATAAGAGGTTTGCTTAATTGGGTCTCTGAAAAAAACGAGAGATTCCTCTTTGGAAATACCAAAGCTGCTAAATTATAAGAAGAAATTGCCTTGAGATTCAGGAATTTCATACTTGTAAACAATGGCAGTTGGTAGATCCTGGAAGCGTGGGAACATAACGGCCTACGTCTATTATTTGCCTTTTTTTTTTTAATGAATCATTTGCTCTTTTTTTTTTTTTTTTCCACTAGTGACATAAATGTAATATTTTTGAATTTTATGTAATTTACACAACAACAAAAAAAGCTTTCAAACTCTATGTTAAACTATGCTTTTAATTTGACAACATTGTCAATTTATCCATTTTATCCATTATATTGTTGTAATTTTATATTTTGATAAAAAAAAGTTATTCATATTATTCTGAATGTATTTTTTTAAGTAGGTAGTTATGACTTTATATTAATAATTTAATGGATGGTTAAGAAAGGTTAGAAAATGTCATTACAGGTTATTGAATAGACTTATCACTTATGTGCAAATATCAGCACTTGCTGACATTTTTTTTTTGTCATCCTTGCATTATTGGACATTTATGTAATCAATCTATAAAATGTAACAAAGAACATATATTATCTCATTTTATCCATTTTAAAGTCTATTTTGCCAATTTAAATAGTAAAAAGTAAAGTGAAATAATCACTTTTTAGACGTTAAATTTAAAATTAACTTATAAATTCTCTCTCTTTCTTTTTAACAAATATTAGCCTTATTTTTTTGTACTCATTCTGTTATTTTCTATATTTAGACACGTGAATTCTATTCTATTTATTTTTATTTAAATAATAATATATCGTAAAATAGTAAGTGTAATGTGACGATAACATTTTTTTCCGTGTTTTTCTTTTGTTTTTGTTTTTGTTTTTTGTTTTTTTTGTTTTTTTTGTTTTTTTCTTGAGCTTTCTTGACTAACACAGTGGACTGTGTACGTAACAGACAAGTCAACTCTGCAAGTTCGAAGAACTTGCTGGGAAAGTGGTGTGGAAATGTAATTTGCCAATAGCAGCCAATATAAATCTCCCCTCCACATTGAAATCCTGTGAGCTTTCCCCAACAACCGTATCATTGAGAGTTCCACACGACGACGGTGAATTCTACAAACTAAACAACTGACTTGTAATAGTCAGTTCATAACGATCGTTGCGACCATTTATTCCACAGTTAAGTTTTCTTTTATCATTATTATTTTAATTTTTGCTCTGAAATTCCACTGCCCAGTTCTTGCTTCAATTCTAAGCTATAGTACCATCTCTTTCCAAGCTTAACTTCTAGGATGAGTGTTCATAATTTTTTTTTTTTAAAAAAAAAAACTTAATTCAATAAGGGTAAGGTATAGTTTACTCAGTATTTTTGTTTTCGGGAGACATATTTGATCTGGGTTTTGCCTTTTTTTTTTTTTTTTTTTTTTTTTTTTTTTTTTTTTTTGTATATGTGTTTTCTAGTTTTTGGTTTTTCCTGATTAGTATTTTCTGGGTTAGAACCATGATACCGTCGCTGGTTGAAGGAGCAGTTCTTGGGGCAGCATTCGAAACGTTGTTCGGTGAGGTCAAGATTATAATACAGAAGGCTGTCAAGTTCAAAGACAAACTGAATAGAATCAAGAGAAAGCTAGAAGGTTTGGAGAATCCTATAAAGCAGATTCAAGCACAGGAAATGGTATTGGATTTGTCACAATTTAGGACAAAAGATTTCGTCGAAGAGTTGGAGGAGGGCAAGAAGCTCGTTAGCAAGTGCTTGAGTGTTAGCAAGTGGTGGAACGTTCACAAATGGCCTGGCTACACAACCAAGCTTCTTGAATTGGACGAATCTCTCAAAGACTTATTGGAGATACTACAAGCTCAATTGGGTACTGTTCAGATGGAGACTCTGAAATTGGTGAGGCATATGCACGCCGATAGTATGAGATCTCAAGAGCCGAAATTGCAAGAGAGTTGGAATGCGAAAGGTTTCTGTGAGGTTCCCGAACCGCCGGAGTTTACCGTCGGATTGGACGCGCCTTTAGAGGAGTTGAAGATGGAGCTTCTTAGGGAGGATAGCTCAGTGCTTGTTGTGACTGCTCCCCCTGGATGTGGGAAGACCACATTAGTCAAGAAGCTCTGCTGGGATGATGAAATCAAAGGTACCAATTTCAGTGCATAACTTGAAGATGTCAACATGAGTACTGCTAGGGATTTAAATTTTTTTTATACCAACTTATGGAATGGTGTGTTGTTATCTTTTCAACAGTAGATGCCATTTTCTAATATTAATTTGTGCGATCATTTTTTGAGCACTTACTAATAAAAGAATGACAACTATATCAGTTGGAATTAAAAACTTAGGATCTTTTCCATTATTCTATCAAGTAGGAATGTCTTGTTCTGCTCTTTTGTTTGTCGTTGCATATGTTTGTTATTTTGGTATGTTATTCTTTCCACCATTGTAGAGGGGTTTGATGATCTTTCACTGATAGCTAATTCCTTGTGTTGTTATATGGGCAGAGAAATTCAACAACATCATGTTTGTAAAAGTTTCAAAAATGGCCGACCTGAAACTCATCGTACAACTTCTTTATGAACACAATGGTCGAGAGGGGCCTCCTCTTCGAGACGAAGAAGATGCAGCGATCCAGTTGGAAAGATTGCTGAAGGAAATAGGACACATCTCTATGTTGTTAGTTCTAGATGATGTTTGGTCTGGATCAGAGTCCCTCATTAATAAGTTCATTTTCCCGATACCAGATTACAAGATTTTGGTGACATCGCGATCTGAATTTCCAGGATTTAGACCAACATATAAATTGAAGACACTAAGTGATGAGAATGCAACAACTCTTTTGTGCCACTATGCAATCTTGGCAGATGAGAGCTCTAACATTCAAGATGATGTTGTGAAAAAGGTGTGTTCTCATTAGTCCCCAAAATCTCTATAAGACCATCTCCAATGTAGGTGCTAAAGAAATTCTTGTAAAAGTAAACTCTTAATATTAGAATAATTTTAAAGAACAATGTTGTAATGCTTAAATGAAAAGGTTAATATATCAACCAATAGTAATTAAATGTCAAATTTGGTATTTGCTATACTTTATGATAAATTTGCCACAAAGTATAGCGTTCTCCGAATTTAGCATAGAAAATAGCATAGCATTAGAGATCACTCAAATGTCAAACTTTGGCATTGGCATCAGTGACGAAGCTAGCAATTTTCATCGGGGGCTAATAACTATGTAAAAATTTTTAAATAGTTGGGCTAATTTGATTTTGGAGAGTATTGAGTTTTAGGATTTTTTTTTTTTTTTTTTTAAAGAATGTAATGAGGTCTACTTGGTCTTTTGTATAAAAATGATGTTTTTCAATGATTTTTTAGAAAATGAAATCAAGTTTTTATGGGGATTGGTATGTAATTTGATGCAGTAGATATATAGGATTTGTTGGGGAAAAAAATTGAGGGGAGGCTAAATCAAGTTTTCAAATTTTTTATGAGGATTCTAATGTAATTTGAAACAAAACATATATAGATTAAAAGAATAAAAAAAGTTGAGGGGAGGCTTATGCCCCGCAGTCTCCAAGTGCCTTCGTCCCTGATTGGCATATCAATTTGTACTGCATTGGAGATGCTCTAACATGTACGCATGCTTATTATTTTGCCTATCATGCCTTGAAAATTATGCTTCTGAGCTTGCTTATGCAACTGTTCTTTCACTTGAGATACCATCAGAGCTGATTTTGGTAATATACTTTTTGGGGTCTTGGATTGCAGGTAGTCCAGCACTGCAAGAAAGTTCCCCTTGCGCTCGAATTGGTTGGGACATTGCTGCGGGGGAGGGCTCAAGAGATCTGGGAAAGAAAAGTGGAAGAATGGTCAGAAAATTCTTCCGTTCTCAGTTTTGAGGACAAGCTGCTCGCTTGCCTAAAAAGCAGCTTGGATTTTCTGGGTGAAAAAGATGTTAAACTTAAGGAATGCTTCATGGATCTTGCTTCATTTCCTGAAGACAAAAGAATTCCAGCTACCGCCCTCATTGACATGTGGACAGAACTGCATGGACTAAAAGAATCGCACGCCGCTGCTAACCTTTTCGAACTCCACCACTGGAATATGGCGAATGTTGTGATCACAAGGTATGATGGTTTAGCTCCTATTAGTAGTTTTATGACAGGATTTTTCTTTTATGCTAATTGTAACTCATATACTAGCTCCAATTGGATATAGAGGTTTCAGTGACTGCATATGTCCTACATTTAAATTAATCATCTTTATATGTTATAAGCTCTATTTTAATAGCTGCTCATAATGCCAAAATAATCGTTGTCCGCTCTAGCAATGAGAATCTTGGTAGTTGGTTTGGGTGGTTATTTGTCACAAAAAGAGGAATTTATCAAAATGGCATATTTTATTACTAAGCATCGTTTTTTTTATTATTTATTGTGAAGAAAACATTTTGAGTTTTGGAAATGTTTCTATGAGATCCTTAATCCATTTAGCAGTAATTGAAATTTGTAATTTCATTATTTCATATTTAAAGACTTGTATTCTAAGCAGTTGGTTTCTGCTCTTAAACAGAAGAGACGCATATGAAAAAGACGGCTATTACAGTGAACACTTTGTTACTCAGCATGATATGCTTAGAGAACTTGCTATTCATCAGAGCAGGCAGGAACCAGAAGAACAGAGAAAAAGGTTAATTCTGGAATTAAATGGAAACAAGCTTCCCAATTGGTGGAATGAACCAAATGAGCCAACTTTCAATGCCCACTTAGTGGCTATCACTACTGGTTGGTCTCTCCCTCTCTCTCTCTCTCTCTCTATCTATATATGTGTGTGTGTGTGTGTGTGTTATAAACACACACATATAGTGAGTCAGTCAAGTACCTGTTATACTTGAACATTCTTCACCTTCATTTTTGCAGATAGAAACTTCTCATCAAAATGGTGCAACATGAAACTGCCTGAAGCCGAGGTTCTAATTCTGAATTTTCAGGCGGAGAATTATGCCTTGCCTGATTTCTTGAAGAGCATGAGCAAACTTAAGGTTCTGATAATCACAAACCATGGTTTCTTCCCCGCTAAATTAAGCAATTTCGAGCTGCTTAGTTCCTTAACCAATCTGAAGAGGGTCAGATTCGAGTGCGTTGTAATTCCTTCCCTAACCGAAACTTCCATAAAATTGGAGAATCTGCAGAAGCTATCTTTGTTCATGTGTAAAGTTGCTCATGCTTTTGGTTCTATCAAGATATCAGAAGTGTTTCGAAGTCTAGAGGAGATTAACATTGACTATTGCACTGATTTTGCGTATTTCCCAGCTGGGTTCTGTGACATAGTCAATGAGAAGCTCAAGAAGCTCAGCATCACACATTGTCATAAGTTGTCTAAACTACCTGACGAAATCGGAAACCTGATCAATCTAGAACTATTGAGGCTAAGGTCCAGCATTCGTTTGGAAAATTTACCTGACTCCCTATGCAAGCTCTATAGGCTGACCTTTATTGACATATCCAACTGCTTAAGCATTCAATACTTGCCTGAACACATCGGTGAGATGCGTGGTTTAACAAAGCTCAACATGACAGACTGCTCGAGGTTTCGGGAGCTACCTCCAACTGTTCTGGACTTGGAAGAATTAAAAGAGGTGGTGTGTGATGAGGATATTAAAGAACTGTGGGAAATACATCCTTTCGAGGATGATAAGAAGATAAATCTAAGGTTGGCGAAGGAAGATTATCACTTGAGATGGCTTTAGAGCTTCAATCTTGCGCCCTTGAAATATTTTGCTGGTTGAATGATTTGTGATGTACTTTGGTCTTTGTAGTTGCAAGTCTAGTTGATTGTTTCTCCCTGTTGCTTTAGTTAGAAATCATTAATCTTGTGAAATTCCAAATTTCATTTTATGGTCATGGAAAAGCAATTTGAAAAGGGTATTAAAGTATTGCAATATAGGACTTTCATAAACGCTGTAGTTAAAGATGAGAACCAACAACGAAGCCAACTTACGTAAAAGGAGAAGTACATCAGAAAATTAATACAAGAAAGGAAGAAACAGGACTACCAAATTTTGTATGAAAACTGGGAAACAACTGTTGTCTGTTTGTTACAAGGTATACAAACACATTTTGTTGACCACCAGAACAAAAACAACAACAAAGACAGTAAAAAGTGCGAAAGCAATAAATAAAAAATGGTTCAACATAAAACTATGATATGTTAAAGAAAGGAGCCAAAGTTTTTCACTCTTTCCATTGTTACATAATGTGAAGCATGTTGCAGTTACTCAGATTTATATTAGGATTAGGATATTGGTAATTTAAGGTAGATTTTTATCCTTTTGCTCGTAGGGCTATATAAACCCTCTTTATTCGTTTGTTCAATTAATAATTACAATTGCATCATCCTCTCTTTTATTGTTTCTATTTTGGATTAGGTAATTCTCACAAAGCATACTACAATTTCATCCTTAGACAGTGTCACTTATTTAATAATTAAGCTCAACTAGCTTTTTCTTACTATTAGATGATGATATGAACATATTATTCTCTAAAAGATTACTTTCTTCTCTTTAGATAGTATTAATTAGGTGTGAAGCTGGAACAATTGAACATCGATAAATGAATGATTGATAAATTAATAACCTGCTTAAATAATAAAAACTTTTTATCCCGATTTAGGCCAGTGTACTAAATTAATAATTTCGCTAAATACATAAGATAATAATTTTTTTTTTCAAATCCTTTAGGGCCCAATGAAAATATAAATTAATAATTGAAAAAAAAAACCATATATAATTCATAATATTAAAGAGTTTTTTTCTTCACAACTTTTATTTTCTCAATTCAACTTCTTTTTTTTTTATACAAAATATGCATCTAAAGTCATTTGTTTCTTCTTTGTACCTAAATTGAACTTAACCTCGTCTTTAATTTTTTACAAACTATGCACTACATCTGATTTATTTTTTTCATGTTGTAGCATGTAATTATTTAAGGTTACTATTGTTTGAAACGCCTATTTTAGAAAAACATTTGGTAAAATACGACTGTCATCTAGATCATGATCAGCATGCGTATTAAATTTGAAAAATACATTTATCATATGCCCAAGTACTTGTTAACCTTCATGCTAAATGTACGTGCAATATGTATCAATTTTGGGCTTATATGCATGTACATAACAACAATTAATTTTTTTATAATATATATGATAACTTTTGTAATCCTCTATGTACACATATTAATTTTTGACTATATACCATTATCTTTAGTATTTATAGCTCATGCACGAATATTAGTAAAAGAAAAGGTACATGTATAAAAATAATTAAAACATAAAACTTTTCGTAAATTAATAAATTATTCATTTATTGATAAATAAATAATCTCTTTAAAATAATATTTTTTTTCTTAATCCTAGAGGTTTTACTATATATATATAGGGTGATTAAGAGAGGAAAAAAATCCTTTCTTTTCACGGTGGGCTGCTGCAAATTGGATTTCTTTTAAAAGTTTTAACATGCTTAAAACCAAAATTCATTTTTCAGAACGGTAAATAACATTAGTTATTTAATTCATGACTTACGTTATGATTTAAATTATATTATTATAATATTTTTTTTCATATAAATTTAATTTAATTTATTTTTTTTTTTTTGCTATAATGCATGCACAACCCAAATGAACACACCCTGTGAGATAACGTGTGTAGCTTTTTGGTAAAGGCATTGTAGTTTTTTTGTTCTATCGACTATCACGTATATTTCTAAATTTTCTGCACTAAACTTTGCCACAGTTACTATTTAAAAGGTACAACATTGGCCTGCGTTTGGTGATGGATATAGAATTTAATTCCAAAGGGATACAAATAAGAATAAAATTGTTAAATTTCTAACATTTCTAATAAAATACCTTCTAATATTGTTCCACAAGAAATTTTAAAAAAAAAGTAATCAACCTAAAATAAACTATTGTGCACATTCCAAACAAGACACAAAATTCAGAAAAAAAAAAGAAAAAAAGAAATGAATTAAAAAATTAAATTAAATTTCTTAAGATAAAAAAGTCATGAATCTCTATAGTTTTTAATTAATAAAGTTAAGCTTACATGCTTTAGTATATACTAATTATTTACGCTAACCTGTAGAAGATGAAACTAATGCTGCGTTATCTTTATTGGGTAATTAGTCAACCCAACGACTCAAAGGACCTTTCTGGGAAAATGCTGTGGAATTGCACTTTGGCAATAGCTAATTAAAGGGTAAGTGGAAAATCTAATGTCAATTTGGAAGAAATTTTTTTCCCCCCTTTCTGGAGTGGACCCGAATTAAAGAAAAGCTTTCCAAAACTAAATTGTATTAAGTATATGTATTTTCGTGTAGGACTTTGTTGTACTTTACTTAGCATTTTGGGTTTATCATAAATTTGTGTACATAAATGACATTTTCTTTTAGATTAAACGATATAGAGTTTTCCTGGTGTTCTAGAATATGTTTTTAGAACAAATATAAGAAAATTATATAAAAAAAAAAAAAAAAAACAGTAGGAGAATATAATAGAGTTTTCCTGGTGGTCTAGAACAGTGGGAACATGTTATTTAATTTTTTTTAAATGTTCTCTAATAGGCATAGACTTAAAAGTTTTAATAGAGAAATAACATAGAAAAGAAAATATGAATGAAGAAGTCAAGGATAAATTAAAAGAAAAAAGCTATTTTGACGTGTATATTCTAAAATATTATTCATCCTATTCAAAGTAATTACATAATTTTAAACTATCATTCTTTGTTTATTTTTTTAAGAAAAATTCAACCAGACACGGAATAATCTATAATTCGATTCTAACGAGTAACGCCAATATTTGCAATATGAATACAAACGACGCACCTGGCACGTGCCCGTCTTCACTAGTTTATTTATATTTATATTTTTTATTTATAAGTGCGAATTGGTTTTTTTTGTTTGCCCCAAAACGTTTCGTTCAACCTTTTTTTTCCAACGTGTTTTTCTCTCCATTTCTCTCTTTTTTTTCTTCTTTCTTTTTTTCCTTTATATTTTTTTTTAACTTTCCCACCCTTTTTACTTTCTATTACACAAATTTTCTTTTTTTTTCTCTAAATTAACCCTCATAAATGTACTTCTCTTTAATTCTTTGTTTAAATAATTTATTCTCGTATATATCTTTGTCTATTTTTTTTTTTGAAATCACGTTCTCCTAATAAAACATTTCGTAAGTAATTTTTTGTTTTAATTTCATTCTTTTTCCCTCTCATTTTTATTATGTTTCCCTTTTTTTCATTTTTATCCTTTTTATCTTATTACACTTTTTTTTTCTTTTTAATTTTTCCAAATGAGACATTAATAAATATGTTTTTCATTCTTACCTACATAATTTTACACGTGTACGCTCACAGTTTTGACTAGTTGTATAACAAAAAGAGAAATAAGGACGCCCTTAGACCAAATTCATTTCTAAAAAGTATTTTCTGCTTGAAAAAAAATGATTCTGAAAACTATTTTAAACATTTAAATGACATAAAATTCAATTTCTTCTTTTTGTTGAAATTTTATGCTTTTGAACAAAAAGTTTATGCATTTTTTAAATGGAATCTTACGTTTTCTTTTAGGTTGTAATGAATTTAATTCTTTTTGAACTTTTATATATATACTAATTAAGTCCACATGTTATGCACATGGAGAGTAATCTGTATGTTAAATTTTAATTACTGTGTTATTATAGCACATAAGATCTAAACATAAAATTTCAAAAAGGAATCAAAATGAGAAAAAAAAAATTTGGGTAACAAGCTAAAAAAAAGGGACAAAAAAGTAATAAAATGAAGAAATAAATAAGTTCAGGACAAAATGGACCAAAATGGGAAAAAATGAAGTTTCAAGGTAAAAGAAAAGGGGTAAAAAAAAAAGACCAAAATGAAGAAATAAATAAGTTTTCGGATAAAAGAAACCAAAACAAAAATAAAATAAAATTTTGAGGACAAAAATTTAAAAAAAACGGGCAGGAAAGGGCTAAAATGAATAAATAAATAAGGTTTAAGGCAAAATAGATTAAAATGAAATGAACATAAAGTTTCACTGCAGAAATAAGAGGGGGGGGGGCTCAAAAATGACTAAAACGAAGAAATAATTAAGTTTTACGGTAAAAAGAACAAAAAAAATAAAATTTATGGATAAAATAAAAAAAGATAAAAAAAAGACTAAAATGAAGAATTAGATTTATTCTCAAAAAAATGAAGAATTAGATAAGTTTTAGGGTAAAAGAAAGCAAAATGAAAAAAAAAATAAAGTTTTAGTACATAAATAAATAAAATCTAACAAAAAAGATTAAAATGAAGAAATAAATAAATTTCAAGGCAAAATGGATCAAAACGAAAGAAGAATAAAAATGACTGAAATGAAGAAATAAAAAGTTTTAGGCCAAAGGAACCAAAATGAAAGAAAAATAAAATTTTAGGATAAAAATAAAAAAGGGCCAAAAAGGATTAAAATGAAGAAGTAAATAAATTTTAAGGCACCATCGGGTAAAAATATATAAGTAGGATAATATCAACAAAAAGGAAAAAATTAATTTGAGTAAATGAAAGAAATAAGTTAAAATAAGGGCAAGGATGAAAATTATAAAATTTTAAGGGAAAAATAAAAGGAAAAAGAAAAGACTCAAAAGAGAGCAACATCAAAAGTATTAAAACAAAAAAAAAAAAACAAAAACAAAAAAAAAGAAAGGAGGAGGCAACCAAAATGAGCGTTTCTAAGTTTCAACCAAAGGTAACGCTCGTTTTGGTTGAAAACAGTGCATTTTGAAACTTATTATATATTTATGGACACACGCGTAATTGTCTTAAATCCAACACCTGCACCAGTCCGGAAAATGAAACTTTTTTCATAGGCTAGTGCGACATCGTTCATTCAGGTCTGTGACACATGGTTTGCTGAAATGTAGTATTCAAACAATTTAGTCTAACACATATAATATTGAATACTACACATATATATATATATATATATAAAAGTTACATGTACAAACGGATAATGTTACACGTACATATAAAAAATTACATTTCCCAACTGATTAGGGTGTCGAATTTAAAACTTTATCTATATATAGGGATAATTTTTCAATGGTTATATTTTTACGGTGGTTATCCATCAAATATAAAAATTTAATTACGTAGACTTATAAGAATCCTATCTTATTAATTACTATTAAATTTTTTAATTTACTATACAATCGATATCTTATGGCTAAACTTGTATAAATATTAAAATAACCATTAAAATAACACTAATAGGTGCGTTTATCAAACCGTAAATGAATGTTATGAGAAACGTAATGAGATTGGAAAGAAAAGTAAAGTAATAGGATTCAAGGTCATTTATTTTCTTTTAAGTGTATACTTAACTATTAAATGGTGTAATGAGAAACAATTTCATTTCCTTTCTTATATTTACCAAAATTAGGAATAATAATGTTATGAGTATAATCACTAAAATGTCATTTTACACAATTTGATAAGTGAAGTTAGCATTCATTCTCTTTGATAAGGAATTAATTCATTCTCTTTGATAAGAAATCAATTCATTTTCTTTGGTAAGAAATCAATACTAAAGGGGTACAAGAATTGGCATTCTTTTTTCTCATTCTATATATTATGTGGGGGTCACTAAATGTCCGTTATTAATTTTATAAATAAACACATTATTAAATGTGAAAAGGAATCATTCCTCATTTTCCATTTTCCTTTGATACAAGTAAATATGTCCAATATGTATACACGAGCACCTTATAAAAAAGCAGGGAGTTTTTATGGTGAAATCCTTTAAAAAAATTCTAAAAACATTCTGTTTCAATTGTTAAATTAACTTTTTAATAGTTAAATTTATAAAAATTCATATTAAAATTTTAACGCGCCATATAAGACTACTCTTCTATATGTAATTGTTAAAAAAATAATCAAATGTTTTAGGGTTCTCGTAGAGAAAGCATCTTAAGTATAGGATCATTTATAACGGTACAAATTCCCAAAAATAAACAATGGTGACGGATTTTTGGCTTTCTTACTCAGTCGTGTGATGGAGGCCACTTCAGAGCTATTTTCCTCTTTTCACTCCATCCATCTTCGCCGGCGATACCGACTCTGCCACTCCGGTGACTGAACCCAAAATGGTATTCTGTCGTTTTTTTTTTTTTAAGAGAAAAACTAATTTATTATTAATTTCAGTTCCTTGGAATTTTGGAAGAAAAAAAAAACAAAAGGCGCATTCTTTTTCTTTTTTAGCTTGAGATTTTTTTTTTTTTTAAGTCATCTTACTTTCTAACTGCCGTAACCATATTTATTGTACGGATAAGTTAATAATGCATCAATTCTTTGCCTCAATTTGAAGCAACTGCCATGGTTTTTCTTTTCTTTTCTTTCCTCCTTTTTTGCCGTGAAAATTCCAAACTTTACCATTTCAGCGGCGCTAATACTAGGAAACTTCAATGCCGACAAAAATATATTATATTCTTTGTTTGATATATATATACACACACACACACAATTAGCTGTTCACATGAGGCAGGGGAAAGAAGTTGAGGCTTGACATACGCGTCAAAAGAAAAAAGTCAAAATTATAGAGAGTATTTAAATCTTCTTTTGTTTGATATATATATATATATGTGTGTGTGTGTGTGTGTGTGTGTGTGTGATCAGAGCTGAATTCTGAAATCAAATCTTCTTTTGCACAAAGCAGAGATATGATCTGGGTTTGTTTTCTTTGTTAATCATTGTAGTATTTTTCATTTGTTCAAAGTAGTTGTTTGTTTTATTGTCCTTAGGAATTATGGTCTTGTGATCTGGGCACATCTGCGGAGCAAAAAGTATGGATTTAGTCGCAGGGGGTGTTATTGGATTGGCATTACAAGAGCTGGTTGATAAGTTGAAACATATAATAAAGAACGCTGTTTCGTGGCGAGAAACGTTTCAAAACATCATGGCAAAGCTGGAAAGTTTGCAGCCATTGGTTAAGGAGATAAAAGAGTTGAGCAGGGAATTGGATCAGCAACAAAAAGAGACGACGGATTTCGATACCTTGATTTCTAAGGCCTTGGAGCTTGTTGATGAGTACCCCAAAGTTAGTAAGAGCAAGAACATTTTCAAGAAGTCGCGGTACGCTGATAAGCTTCAGGAGTTGGATGAATCTCTTGATCAATGGTTGAAGTTACTGCAGGCCTACCAATCCCGGGATTTGAAGGAGCTTCTGAAGTTGATGAGGGAGCTCCAGGAAATGGTTATAAGATTATACACCAGTAAAAAATTGGAACAAAGTCAGATCTCGAGTACGCGCTGCTGTGAAGTTCCTGAAGCCCCAGAGTTTACCGTCGGGTTGGATGTGACTCTTGAGGAGTTGAAGGCGGAGCTCCTTGGGGAGGATAGCTCGGTGCTTGTGCTGACTGCTCCTCCGGGATGTGGGAAGACCACATTAGTGCAAAAGCTCTGCAAAGATAGCGAAATCGAAGGTACTATTTATTGCAAAATAGATATTAATGTCACTCCAGTTTCTAACATTCTAAGTTTTTAGAACTTTTAAACTAACATGTTGCAAAACAAGGTATGCGAACAGGAAAATAAGACCATTAGAAAATAACAACGTTTTCATAAAACCTTTTTCTATATGTTCGTCCTCATATAACTTGAATATCTGAACAGTTATAGGAATTAATGTCTCTCTCTGCTTCTTTGTTTATAATAATTTTCTACTGACAATTTTTTTTGTTTTGCATATGAATAGAGAAATTCAAAAGAAACATCATGTATGTAAAAGTTTCAAAAACGGTGGACCTGAACCTTATTATACAGAATCTATACCAACACAATGGTCGCACGGCGCCTGTCTTCCGAGACAAAGAAGATACGCTCAATTGTTTGGAGCAATTGCTGAAGGAAATCGGACCAAGCCCTATATTGTTGGTCCTGGATGATGTTTGGCCTGAATTTCAAGATATGATGTTTCGTTTCCAAATACCAGAATACAAGATTTTGGTGACATCAAGGTATGAATTTCAAGCATTTGGACCCGTATATAAATTGGAGACGTTGAGTCACGAAGATGCTGTGAAACTTTTCCGTAACCATGCAAAGTTGGAAGATGGGAGCTCTAAGATTCCAGAGGATCTTGTGAATGAGGTTTGTTGTTTAACATCTATGCTTATTTGGCCTTTTGAAACGTCAACATGACTATTGAAATAGTATTGTGTAGTTTCTTTAGTTTCAAGTACCATCAATATGATTTAATTAAACATGATTCTGGAATCGAATGTATGGTATGAGACTACAAGTTACTGATTTTCTTTGTTTTGTTGACTGCTCTTGGGCTACAGGTAGTGCAGCACTGTAAGAGAGTCCCCCTTGCCCTTAAATTGATTGGCCTGACTCTATGCGGGCGTCCTCGAGAGATCTGGCGAAGAGAACTGAAAAAATGGTCTAAGTGGGATTCTTCTGTTCTTGATTACATGGACAAAAATGACCTGCTTCTTTGCCTGAAAAGCAGCTTAGATGTCTTGGGCGAAGAAGATGCTAATCTCAAGGAGTGTTTCTTGGATCTTGGTTCATTTCCTGAAGACAGAAGAATCCCTGTCACTGCCCTCAATGATATCTGGACAGAATTGCACGAACTAGAAGAGGACGATGCTACTGCTTACCTTTTCGACCTCAGCAGATCGAACATGGCAAATGTCGTGGTCACAAGGTATAATGGCCCTTATTATATAATTTTCTTCTCCATGATTTATTTTTAGGCTTATTTATTTGCATGTACTCACTGCATATTGTATTCATAATACTTTTTTTTTAATACTTTAATTTACCTTAAGATAACAATTAGCTACTTTGAATTTCAAAGGACAAAATAATTGTTGTTCATGATATGTGGACAGTTAAGTTCTATAAAGTAGATTTCTTATTAGTTTATACGAAACGCTGCTAAGGTTTTTTTTCTTCGTTTACTTTATCCTCCCTTTATCTAGTTTACATTTGAGCTACTTTGATACACAAAACACAAGGTGGAAAAACTGCTTTTATCAAAGGCTTAGTCTATTACACAAATTGCAATACATATTTCATGTCTGAAAAGTTTGTCGTAAGTGATTTATTTATTCTATTTTCAGAAGAGACGTTTATGAAGAGGATGACTACTACAGTGAACACTTTGCCACTCAGCATGATATGCTTAGAGAGCTCGCTATCCACCAGAGCAGGCAGGATCCTGAAACACAGAGGAAAAGGCTGATTTTAGAATTAGATGAAAAGAAGCTTCCCAGTTGGTGGAATCAACGAAATGAGCTAACTTTCGACGCCCGCCTTGTGTCTATCACAACAGGTTGGTCTCTCTCCTCTTTTTTTTTTTTTTAGAGTAATACAAGTACACTTGATTAGACATAAACAATTCCTTGCCTTCATTTTTGTAGATGGAAAATTCTCATCAAAATGGTGCAACATGAAGCTGCCTGAAGCTGAGGTTCTAATTCTGAATTTTCAGACGGAGAATTATGTCTTACCTGATTTCTTGAAGACCATGAGCAAACTAAAGGTTTTAATTATCACAAACTATGGCTTTTTCCCGACTAAATTAAGCAACTTCGAACTGCTTGATTCCTTAACCAATCTGAAGAGGATCAGATTTGAGCGCGTTGTGATTCCTTCCCTGGGCGAAACTTCAATAAAGTTGGAGAATCTACAGAAGTTGTCTTTGTTCATGTGTAAAGTTGGTCAAGCATTTGGTTCTATCCAGAAATCGGAACCATTTCCAAGTCTAGAGGAGTTGAACATCGACTATTGCACCGACTTTGTGGAACTACCAGCTGGGTTCTGCAATATGGTCAAGGATGTGCTTAGGAAGCTCAGCATCACACATTGTCATAAGCTCTCTACACTGCCAGAGGAAATTGGAGAAATGGATAATCTTGAAGTATTAAGGCTTAGGTCCTGCATTGATTTGGAAAAGCTACCAGAATCCATCTGCAATCTTTCTAATTTAAACTTACTTGACATATCGGACTGCTTCAGCATCAGGAACTTACCCGAGGACATGGGCAATTTGCGCAGTTTAAAGAAGCTCAACATGAAAGACTGCTCGAGATTGCGGGACCTACCTCCATCAGTTTTGGACATAGAGCAGTTGGGGGATGTGGTGTGTGATGAGGAGCTGAAAGAATTGTGGGAATTCTATTTGCCCTGTGAAGCCAAGATAAAATTAAGGTTGGCCAAGGAAGATGTCAACTTGAATTGGCTTTAGATACGACATTCTTGCGACTGTTGTCTGTTAAATGGGGTTCCGTTGATATATATGTATACATCCGTGGGGGAAGAGATTTCTGGAAATCCTATTTCATAAAATAAACAGAATTCTCAGGTTTCACAGTGACATTTTTTTTTTTGTTGCGTTGAATGACTTGTTAATGAACATTGGATTTATTGTTGCAACTCAAATTAGTTGCTTCTCCTTCCTCTTTGTTCATCCTCGTTTTATTGCAAAATGATTAAGGTACGACCATAAATGACCATTTTTAATAAAGAACGACCATGTCATAAAAAATGAAAAAAAATCATTTTACTAATTTTACTTTGTTAGATAGTCACCCTAGTAAATTTCAGAAAAAAGTCATTTTACTAATTTTACTTTGTTAGATAGTAACCCTAGTAAATTTCTCGTTAAAAATTGTATCGTGTGAAATTTCAAATGACATTCAAAAGGTCATCTGCGGTTATGGAGAACAATATGAAAAGGACACTCGAGTTTTGCAGCTTGATTTTCATCAAAGATGTGGTTAAGATGAGAGTGATTCGGCAAACAAAGCCAATTTACGCTAAAGGGAAACAAGTCGATACAAGAACACTGAACTACCAAATTCTATATGAAAACTGTGAGACAACTGTTGTTACAAAGTATACTGTCAGATAACAGGGGAATATCAATACTGAACGCCAACCCTAGCTGATAATCCGAGGAACCAGCCGCCTCCCATACAATGATTCTTCTTTGCTACCCCACTGTCTCTCGCACTCCCCTTACATAGAACCCTCCCTTGACACGTGGCACTCTCCCCCACATCCTAGAAGTAACGGTATGACATTCCTTATAGCTTTGGGACCACATCCTCTGCTACGGTAGTAGTGGCTGTCGTGGTGGTAGTGGGAGGTGCTCTGCTAGCACGCCCACGTTTCCTCTCATAGACCTTCGGAATTAGGGGTCTAACATATACAAAAACTCAAACAACAAAAGATGGGAAAAAGTGCAGAACCAATTGGAAAGCAATAAATAAAACATTGGTTCAATGGAAAGGGAGGTAGGGTTGGATTATCATGTGTCTTGTTCACTCCAATTACCACCCCTCTCGCAATAAACTTCAAATGCGTCCACAAATATAGGTATGAAACTGCATGTTGCTATTAACATTACCGACTCCAAGGAGCATTTGATAATCCCAGTTTCACATGTTATATCTACGTTAACCTATCATCAAAGACTATCATACATTCTCGTCGCTACTTCTTCAGGCCTCTCACAGCTCAAAAGCACCATGCCTTAGTCGGAAGATGCCACTTCAAATTCCAAGCTGCATCCCACAATTAAATGGCATAGACTATCTCCCCACTGCTGTCGATGTCTAGCTCAGAGTCTGAATCCAAGTCGTCCATGTCGTCCATGTCCGGATTGTCTGCCATATACTGGTTAAGGCCTAGGGTCCCTGCTGCTGGAATCGTGGCCTCGGCAATTATCTGCATGATTACATCGATGCTCTGCATAGGTTGGTCGGGCTCTTCAAACTGGTTTCCCATCGTCCGCTCATCCATTAGATCCGCAGGTAGATTCTTCAGAAACCATGAGTGGGTCCTTATCTCGGGAATGGTTATTCTCTGCGCATGTATATTACATCCATAAACACTGAGTCATATAGAAACGAATCACAAAAATCCAATAATGACACTGTTGGAATTCTGCAAAAGAACCAAGGGAAAAAAAACATTTACTTCCATCTGTGTCACAAAAATATTGTCCAAGCAACAAGTGTTATTAGTCCAAAATGCGCTGGCAAACTGCTTGAAGATGTTTTGTGGAGAGAAACAAAGAAAAATAAGGGATGAAAAGGAAGTGTATTAATCAAAGATACATTTTATACTTTAGTCCAGTTTTCACGGAATCTGCAGAACTCAACAACAAAGTTTGTTTTGGCAAGCATGAACTTAGCAAGATAACTACAACCCAACTTCCAATAACAGTGAAATTATAAAAGCATAAAAGCCCGTTCTCAAGTATTTCAACAAAAGAAAAGAGGAAATTCAGGGAGTAAGAGTTACTGACCGTAGCAGGATCTGCCACAAAAATTCTTGATATCAGCTCACGACATTCCTGAGATATTTGTACTACGTCCGGGATTGAATACTGGACACTCAGAATTCTCTGCATGGATGAATAAATAGAATATCTTAAGTCAAGCAAATGTATATAAAGAGATATGATAGCAAATAAAAAAAAAATCACATACTTGTATAGTTTTCCGGAAATCCTTTGGCTCGTCAGGATCCTCAAAAGGATAAGCTCCAACCAGCAACACATATAAGGTCACCCCACAAGACCATACATCTGCAATCTGAAATTGAAAAACCTCTCTTAAAACAGCGAGTTTTATGACATCACCAGATAATCCAAAAAACTATAGTAGGGCTCTTCTTTGGCTTCCCTTCCTCAGAAAATTGAACCTAGACATCACCAACGTAAATGCCTATAACAGCCAAACCTCCAGGGTTTCTAAATTAACATTTATTCGTATGCAAGTACACATGGAGTCTATTTAAAAATAAAAATAAAAGTACACATGGAGTCTACAAAATTTCGAATTAATTGGATGAAGAAGACAAAAAGAGGTCCAAAACGAATCAGGACTGGTAAATATAATGGTCACACAAAACCCATTCCAGCCTTCCTCAACGCTTTTAACAAGAGCATACACCAATACCCCCCCACCACCACACACACCACAACAACAACAAAATGCAACTCAGCTCAGATAGCATCACATACAACGTTTTATTACTTTAGTTGAAATGTTTTATTTAGAGCCACAAGTGAAGTGAAGTTACCTTGCCATCATACTCTTGCCTCAATAATACTTCTGGAGCAATGTATGCAGGAGTTCCCACTGTGGATTTTGGTTGTGAATGCAGCACCGAGGACTGGCAATTGCCACAATCAGGTATGAAAGATGTTACGACCTAAATTTTTTACCATATATACAACTATATACTGCCACCTAATACTTGATAGTCTATATAGATCTCAGAGAAAATCAGTGTCACATAAACAAATAATAGACAAGAACCTATAATGATGCCAATGGGAATTCACCAGTAGGTGAAGCGAGTTGTGCTAACCACTACAAATATAAATTTATTTCTTCAACTCCAAAATCTTCACACCAATCATACAAGCACACTATGTACACCAAATGAGCACAAAATACATGATCATTGGTACCTTAGAGTAGCCAAAGTCGCATATCTTCAACTGAGGAGCTGGACTTCCATCCAACAAAGTATTTTCCAACTTTAAGTCGCGATGACATACTTGCTTTACAAAGAAATATCAACATCATAACACAATCAATTAGCACCCAAGGACAATAAAAATTTGAAATCTCAAAGAAATGCCAAAAGAAAACGAAGGAAAAGAAAAATCAAATACCATTGCATGGCAATAGCTGACTCCGGAAATAAGCTGCTGAAAAAAGAAACGAGCCTGTAGAGAAAGAAACGACAATATACCACATGCCAAAAAAAAGAAAAGAAAAAGAAGGAAGAAAATGAAGAAACAAGGAGGTATATCCAAGTAAAAACCTCATCTTCACTGAAGCGTCCTGCGTGGCATATTCGCTCAAAAAGTTCTCCTCCAGACGCATATTCCATTACAATAGCTAAATGAGTTGGTGTCAAAATGACCTACAAATTTAGTGAGAGTAGTCGTGAATTAAACCATAACGGGGGAAGGGGCCAGAGGTGGAACATGCAAACTCAAAATGCCAAAAAATGAACTGGACCTCCTTGAATCTGACAATGTTCGGGTGCCTCAAAGACCTATGATTAATGATTTCTCTTTGAACATTCTCATCAATCTGCACAACATAACACCATGATGAAAAATAGGCTCATATCTCGAGCTAAAAAAAATTTAAAAAAAAATACTCAGCCATAACTCAAATCCAAAACCCACCTCAACGATGGCCCTTCACCTCATCAAACGACCCCAATTAGAGATAGACAGATTTTTAAGCCAAAGCCCCAATGTTAACATATTTATCTCAACGCAAGTTTAAACAAGGACAGCTTTAAATTTCAAGAAACGTACCACATTAAATCAATCTAATTACAGAATTAAATATCTCCGCATATCCTTCCAGCCAGATGAAAACCCAATTCAATCTTGTGTTATTTTAACTAGTCATGAAAAAAAAAAAAAAAAAAAAAAAAAAACAAACCTAAAAAAGGCGGAGAGAAATTAACATAGTCAGCAATATTTTTCCTTTTCTGGGTTTCCTCTTAATCCAAATTTTATTTTCCCACGAAACGTTCATTTTTATGCATTACATTACCGGCAAGAAGACTTAATTAATTAACAACATCCACAATAATACACAATACTAAATCTAGAAACCAGTAAAATTTAATCAAACCACCAAAATAACTATAACTAACACGACTAAATCTAATTAGCCAATTTCCATAAATAGAATTGTAGAAGTAACCAAAAACGAATAATAATAATAATAATAATAATAAAGATAAATTACTCGGCGAAACTAACCTTGTCGCCTCGCTCTATGTACTTGACGGCGACGAGCTCCTTGGTCTGCTTGTCTCTCATCAGCCTGGCGACGCCGAAATTGCCCGAGCCGATATCTCGGACTAAGTCGTATCGGTCACTGTCATGCATGATCGGCATGTCCATGCCCGGCCCCACCGTCATCGCTGCCCGATTCATCTTCAACAATCTCCGATGATTGTTCCCTAACCAAACTCCCTCACATTAGACGGTTCATAGAGATCCGAATCCCAAACAGAAAAAGCGAAACACGGCAGCGATTGAGCCTCCGAATCCTCAACCAACCAAGTAGATCCGGTCGCGACTCGGCGAACTCGGAAGCTTCCAGCCGTGGACTCGGTTCAGAGCTCGTCAACCGCTTTCTCTTTCTAGCTAAATTCTCTATGAGAGAGAAAGCGAGAGATTTTCTGTGATCGGCGATGGAGTAAATAATATATGAGGATCAAACTGAAGAAGAAGAAGAAGAAGAAGAAGTGAGGGATGACTTTTTTTATTTTTTATTTTTTTTTTTTTAGGAACAAAAAAAATGAAGTTTCCAAAAGGATATTTACTAGCTACAAGACGCAAAAGACAGAAAAAGCCGTCGCTTTCGTCAGGATTCAGCATACCAAAAACGACGCCGTATTAAGCAGAAATGGCTTTGCTTTGTAGGCGGCGTTAACTGAGGGGGCCAACTTGTTGTGCTTTTTACTTTTCCTTTTTTTATATTTTATATTTTTTTGTCTCTTTTACCATAGCCAATTAGTTCTCAGACTCTCTGATGCTCTCGTTTTGAATAATTTTTGGTGCAGGTCACGTTACTTGGAACTTGGGAGTGTCCGACTGTCTGAGTCAAGAGCAATGATTTGGTGTGGACCGTCCCATCAACAAGTCATAAATTATACCTAAATATTATCTAGATTTAATCACCATCGAAGATTTTGAAGCTGGCCTAAAGTGAGAGAGCAGGTACCGCAAGGGAATCGAGATAAACTTATGGGATTGGGGGTATTTTGGTCAACTCATTGCTAACCTTGGGAACGAAGATAAGTTCCTGATGGAAAGGAAACGCTGGGTTTATCTGAGGAGTACATAGTACATGGATCTTAGCCGTTCATTGTCAGTACAATTGAGCGGCTTTGGCATCGTACGGCCTTGATTTGTCAACTGTAGAAGCAGTATTAGACCAGAAAACACATTATTGTTAAAGAAGGTGAGAGGGAATATTTGGTGGAATCTTCTACCCGATTTAGCAAGACTGCTGGATAACGACAGCGTTTTTCTGGATACTATATTTACTATTTGGCCCTTAAGCCAAAGTAACAAAACAATTTTAACTTTTCCTTTTTCCATACTTGAGAAATAAAAATTAGCAAAAACAAGTGAAACACCATAAGAAAATCACTTTAACACATGAAATATCATATCATCTCGATTTTTGCTAGTCCAAAAACCAACCACATGTTTTCTGTTAGGACGTACAAATTTAAAAATAAGTATTTTTGATAACTGGCGTTTATAAAGAAGATCGGATGTATTTTTAATTGTTTGATTGCTTCAAATATGAAATGTTCTTTTCTTGATAGAAATCGGTTTTTAGAAGGAAGTATCCTAGAAGATTGAAGATTAATAAAATGAATGAAGTATCCTAGAAGATTTGTGAAAAATGAAAAGTTTTGCAAGATCAGGAAACTAAATATAGTTTCTATTTTTAAAAGTCAACTATTGATCCAAAGAGGGTAAATTGATAATTGGTGAATTGATTGATATTTTATTGAGTTTTCGTAGCTGGATTATCTTCCTCTGTCTCCTAGGAATTTGTCCAGATTCGTATATCAATTTCGGAAAGATTTCATGATTTAAAAAGATTGATTCTCTTACTGATTTTGGGAAAGCTGATTCTGAGAGCTATGTTGCAGTTATTGTTGCAACAAGGATCTGCAACAGATTTGGTTCAGCAAATTAATTGAGAAGGTGTCAAGCTATTCACACTTTGTTTATTTATTCAAAGTGTCGCTTGAGTTTTTTAGAGACTAGGGTGATTAGTTTTCGGGGTTGTGAGACATGAGTGAGCACTTGTATTCAGAGAGATGATTTAAGTGTTTTTCGGGAGAAAAACTTAGTTGGAGGGATTGCAATGTTAAAAAAGTGAGGGGATCTCGCTGTTCAAGTCCATTGGAAAATTGCAAGTTCATAGGTGTCTTCTTAGAGAGGGAGTCTTGGGTAGATTAAGTCCAATTGAATTGTAAAGGAGTTCTTAGTGGATTGTTCATCATCTGGGCGTGGCCCCACGGAGTAGGTTGTTACCGAACCGCGACACCATTTCTCTCGTGTTCTTTTATTTGACGTTTCTGCATTATTTGTATTGCCTTATAAAGTATTTAAAGACTCAAACCGGTACCAACATTTCCTTAAAAAAAACAAAAAAAACAAAACAGAGAGATCAATCACATGTACGGACCCCGTTAATTTCACCGATTCGAGTTTAGAATTCAAGTTTTGCTACAGTAAAAATTTCTCAGAAACAGTCACATCTAACTTTTTTGCTACAATAAAAAGCTCTTACATAAAATCACATCTCAACTCGAATCAACAAACTAAACGGACACGTAATTTTGCATGTTTCTTAGAAAATTGGAGTAACTTAATGTAAAGGTATGAAAATGTCTCTTCTTACTTATAAAAAAAAAATGATACAATCAGTAAGTAAAAATTATGAACCGTAAAATTCTATCATATCTTCCTAAATTATTATATTTTTATTTTGATATGATTTTGATATAATCTAATAATTTAATATCTTATTATTGACTATTAAATTTTAATATCACTTGGAACGCATGGTTCAATTAGACTACTTTCTGATACAAATTGGTAATTGTATCATATGGTTCTAGAAAAACTCGCTATAAAGTAGGCATTATATTGGATATATGGGCTTTATCTTTCCCTTTCTAAAGCCTTTCGCTTTACTTAATTACCTTTTCTTTTATGGACCAACATTATGGTACAAAGTTCGATCACACGTACGCACGAGCGATGCTTTGTCATTGTGGGCGATAATTGCAATGAATTGGACTTTGGATTTGTGCGCACTTTTTCTAAGACAATTTCATCCAATAGGAAATCAAATATGTAACGCATAAATTAAATGTTCATTAACTTTTTTCTTCAAACAAGAAAAAAGTTGATTGCCTACACGTGCAATAAGTATTTAGTTCTCTTTTTTCTTCAAGGACATCCTTAATAGAGTTTCTCTGATAAGTTTTTTAAAAAAATGAACTAAGAAAAATTTATATTTTTGATCGTTATCAAAAATAATATACTTTACATAATTTTTTAATTTAATATAACTTTAATTAGATTTAACGGTTTCTTATAAAAGAAACTCTCCATCCGTAAAGCAAAATGAACAAAAGTCATTTCAGAACATTTTCCTACATTTCAGATTTATTCGAAAGCATTATAGTAATTGTTGACGGTCAAATTTCACCAATAAAAAACTGACCGGATTACCTCTCGGTTTCCCCTCAGATTACCGGCCGTGTGTGTGTATTTTAACGTATCAGGAATTGGTGTATTATCTGTGCGTGAGTGTCTACTAAAACTTCTTATATATAAATGACACAAGGGAATTTATAGTGGTTCACTCTATGAAATTCAGAGCTACATCCATTGTATTCTTGTATTTCTTTGTTTTTGGGTAGGCTTACAATTTACAATAATTGTTCTCTGCTTAGAGTTTTTTTTTCAACCCCTTCCTTGCTGGGGGTCTTTTCCCTTTTATATTTGGGCTTTCTTCACCCAGGGGGTTTCCCTCACAGCTATAAGCACTCAAGTGTTCTCCTTCGGTAGGCCCAGACGTAGCCCACTAATTAGCACTGTTCACTCAGCTGATTAGTCTTCTATTACGGCTCTGTGCTTCTCCGTAATACTTTCATGTCCCCTGTGGGAGCGGTCTGACAACTCGCAATTAATGCTTGCAGACCACCTCCACTTCTGCACGTAACCCGTTATGTCCTCTAAAGGACGTTCCCCTCATCGTCAGCACTTCTTAGCCCAACCGCCTTCTTTGATGGCCCTTTCTGCGGTCGAGAGATCTTCATCCTTTAGCGTCGACGGTGCAATTGGTCGACGCCACAAAGGATCGTCGTCTTAACTTGGACTTCGTCCTGGGGCCTTCGCAGCAGAATATGAGGAATCTGCAAGCGTCGAGGGTTCCTTGCTCGGTGGGGATTAATCAAGGCCACGTGTCGCGGTATACTTTGCCCACGCGTCCGCCACATTTTCCCACACAACAGTAATCTTCCGAAATGTTTCGACATTTAAATATTCGATTTTTTTTTTTTTTTTTTTTTTTGTAATAGAATAGATTTGTCTTTCGAAATTAGATTTGATTAAATAACGATATGTATTACTATAATTTGACATTAGAGAAATCCATAAATTGATATCCTTCTGATTTTGTTGCAATCGGATTTTTCCCTTTTTGAGTTGAAATACTAACTTAAAAATTAGTTCTATTTTGCATTCAAACTTTACACTTGTTCTCATATTTTCCCTAGTTTTTTAAAAACTCTTCACCTCACTACTCTAAACTTTGAATTAGTTTCTCTATGTTAAAATTCTTACCAGAAACCATAAGAATATACCAGAATGATTAATTATGAGATATGCAAAATATGACTTCAAATACATCATAAATAAGTCCACAAGTCTTTTCAGTCACGTACTAAGAAACTTAGCATAACTTAGCATCAACATCACCAACAGGAGAAATGCAAGATATGAACATACAAAATTATAATTCCTCAAGAGAGATCAGAGAGACTGGGAAATGCTATGATCAAAAGTAAATATTCAGTTAATTAAAGATTTTATTTGTACCTTCATTTTGCTCTTTCCTCTCCATCCTTCAACGAATTACTTCTGGTTGTCAAATATTCTCGAAAATGGTATTCAACAATATGACGAGATCGGGACAACTAAAACTAGGGCATATGAAGAAGGTGAATCGGAACAATACGAGAGCAAACGCGAAGAGGAAAATTCAATAAATTTATCGGTACAGGAGGTAAGAAAGAGAAAGAAATAAGTAATCAATGCAAGTAATCAATCCGACGCGTGTGGTTTAAAAATAAGTATTTTACCTAAAAACCAGATTACACACCTTGACGCGTGCACGTCAAACTTCTATGTGCTTTTTTTTTTTTTTTTTTTTTTCTTTTCTAAGAATATTTGTCTTGATTTGTGAATAATAGTCATTTTTTATATTTTATTATCGTTTGTTATAATTTTTTATTATAGCTTAATTTTATTATTAGTTTATTGTTTATGTTAGTTTATATTTTGTTATTTTTAGGCGGTTTTTTTGGACAGTTATTCACCGTTAGATCTTGCCAATACAGCCTCCTATAATTTTCGTTACTGAGATATCTTTTTTTTTCATTGTTCCCAAGAATTTTTTGGGTAATCCGCTCCCATACTGCAAACAGTCAAATCTGAACTAAACCT